AGGTTTTGGTCTGTTGACAAAGGGATTGCAGGGAGGGGGCCAACTGAGCTTCCCTTGGCAGAGTTTCATAACTGAGAACAGCCACTATTTCTTATTGAGTATTGCCTTCAGGAATTAAAAGGCAATGTCAAATTTGATCTATTCTCAGAAAGCCAGCATGGTGTAGTGGTTTGAATGTTGGACTGCGACTCTAGAAACCAGGATTCAAATCCCTGTTTGGGCATGGAAACCCCTGAGAAAACTGGCGACTATTCCTCCAGCCTACCTTGCTTTGCAGTGAGACCAAGCGAGCTACACAAGAGTCCTCATTTGAAAGTATGAGGACAAATCAACCATTTGTAATACCCTAAAATAAAATTGAACTGTACAAATAGGTTAATTTGTGCCTGCACTGAGTGGGAGTCATGCCTAGAAACTGCACTAACCAAGAGATGGGTGATCTTGGGGAAGTCACAGTCTCTCAGCCTCAAAGGACAGCAAAGATAACACCCCTTCTGAACAAAACTTGCCAAGAAACCTAGTGATAATTTCGCCTTAGAGTCATCGTAAATCAAAAATGATTTGAAGGCATAAAGCAACAATTCTCCTTTCTCTCCCAGGTACTTGATACTGTGGCTGGGTGCTCTCCAAACAGCATAGTCTCATCAGTCAGGAATCCTGGCATGACAGGTTTCTCTTCTCACAGAAAGTACTTTCTTGGTTGCCAGGTTAGAAGGGAGTTAGTGGTGGCACGAGAAACTGGAGCAGGAGAAGGACAGAGACTCATATAGCTTCTCATCCCAGAAGTTGCCAAGCTGAAGAATAAATCTTGGAATGGCCCAGGAGAAACCACCCCTTTCTCTTGCTCACCATGATGATGCCACCCAAAATGAAAAAGGAATGGGGACAGATGTGGTTGGATATTATAGCTTCTGATCTAGATAGGGCAGATGCTCCTTGCCTTCATCCTGGCAGGGTTCCTCAACCTTTCCTAATAGGTAGAATTGGGAAATCCACCTATGGCATCAATGTGAGAGCAACCTCCTATCCCACCGCTATGGCATCAAATGTGGGGACCACCTAGATGCTCTCGTGGTTCCTGTGCAAGACTTAATTCCTTGATCTCCCAAATGGACACCACCCCCATCAAATAACTGCTACCACTATAGGCACTGTGTAGCTGAACTCACACTTTCCAATAGCCCTTATCTAGCATTCTCAGAGGCACAAATGTATAATACAAAAATGATTTATTGCCTAGAAGTTGATCATAACATCAAAAATTATTTATTTAATACATGTAGAACCTAATTGGTTCTAACTAACTCCAACACACATTTCTCTCATATTCCTAACATAGACACTCATCTCTCACTCCTAATCCTAATCGTTTTACAAATAATTTGTCTCTGACTGACTTTGCTAGTGTGTCTAACTCATATTTTTAACTATGACAGACTCATCTTTCTCTTAGTCCTTCTCTTGATCTCATATCCTAACTAGGTGCATCTCTCTGGACGTTTTCACACGGGCCTTTTTGAGGAGGCAATCCTACCTCCGTCCAGCCTCACTCCGGCTCCATTTCCAGGTTGTTCAGACGCGCGCGGCAGCAAACCCCGCCCCTTCCGGTGTCATCCCTGCGTCCGTCTGGCTTTTCGCTCCGTGTGTTCAAACGCACGGAGCCCTAAGTCCGGCGTCACTCCGGCCAAACCAACGCTAACTCCGGCTTCAGCGGCTGTCCACCCGGAATTAGCCTGCCGCCGACGGAGCCATTCCAGAATCAGCGGCAGGAGCCGTTCCGGAATGGCTCCAGCCGGCTTTAGGGACCCTCGTGTGAAAACGTCCCATGTCTGTCTGTCTGTCCGCCCGCCCATACACACACAGACACACACACACACACACCTTTGTGTTGGATTTCTTCCTGCTCCATAGTTGTTATCAGTAGAGTGGCTTTGTGACAAATGGTTTGCATCTTATCTGATCAGCTACTTCAAGAGCATACTGGAATTACATTATTTATACGCTGGGAACCATCACGGTGTGGTGGTTTGAGTGTTTGACTAGATTCCAGGAAACCAGTGTCCAAATCTCTACTCAGCCATGGAAACCTAGTGGGTGATCCTGGGCAAGGACACTCTCTCAGCCTTAATAGAGGGCAATGGTAACCCCTCTTTGAACAAATATTGTCAGGGAAACTCTATGCCTTCACATAATGCATAATAAGGGTCAACATAATGCACACATCAACAAATTTATACCCTGCCCTTTAGCTATAAAAGAGTCCTAGACTGGCTTATAGATAGTTAATTTAAGAGGTCTGGTCCCCTCCGTCATATGATCTGAATAAGACAGAATACAGGAGGGGAAGGAGGAGGGGAGATAAACTTTGCAGTAGCAAGATCCTGAAACAATGGAGATGTGGTTGACTGGTCTTTGGCTGTGAGCAGAGTAGAGCCAGTTGGATCCTGAGTGGTTGGGAGGGCTCTTTTTTTAATAGACACTTAAAGAAGGACTAAGTCTGAGCCACATACCAAATTAAAACCTGCTTGGAATCCAAGGATCGGTTTATATATTCAACAGAACCATGCCCTCCAACATTCCACAGATGAAATCCAGAACATGTGTGGCCAAGCAACATTCGAGTGTAGTCAATATGGCAAAAGTTATTCATAAGGAGGAACACACAAGCAAGGAGAGCAGTTTGCTTTTGCCTCATTATACTGGGATGGGCAACATTCCACCCCCTGCATTGAATGCCAACTACTGCGTTAATTGAATGCGTTAATTGAATGCCAACTACTTTTGCACTTTGAATTCAGTGTAGAGCAACTGAAGTAAGTTGAAGACAAAAGGGAGAAATAGGAGGAAGAGGCAGGAGAAAGCAAGGACATTCTAAAAGCAGTTGAAAGTGGAATGGCAGAGGATTGATAGGACCTGTTCCTGCCAGATCAGGACAGTTGGAGGGTATGAAGGACTGACTCATTTGGTAGAGCTTTTATGAGACTGGGCCACTTGTGGCATCAGGTGGGGATTTCAAGACAATATGGTGTTCTTCAACTAGTCTTTTCTCTAACATGTTAGTTTCTTATATGTAGGGATAAGAGCTTGGAAAAATTAGTGGCCATATTGGCTGGGGTAATTCTGGAACTGTAATAATAAAAATTAGTTTTCTAATTTCTGGCAGGGATATACATTCCTTGGAGGAACATTTAAACATGTAATCACATACACCTGCAATCTGAAGTGATTGAGTCCAATAAAACCACTCAGCAATGTTCCGCTTTAGCAATGGGAGAGGATCTTGGCAGCACACACAGCAAAGTAGATTATAGTAGATGATGTAGTCAGTGGCATCTATTCTGCAGCAGGATTTCTAGGCTTGATCTTTGGGGCTTTCAAACTGTTTGAGGCATGGTGACCTTTAATGTCTTGTAAAACTGAAACACAAAATGGAATCTTTAGATTTATGATTAGAAAATATTTTCACATGTCTTTTTACATGTTAAAATTATTTTTCCATTTTCTGGTTATGTTGTGATCAGAATATTGCAAACAGTCTTTATAGTCTACTGATATCTTCTTTTTTTGTTTTGTTCTGTTTTATATAGCATTTCTCTCCTGCTCCCACTCTGCAGCTGTGGAAAATATAAGCACAAGAGGAAGTAAGAACTTTGTTAATGTTGCATTTGTTTTTTGAAATAATAACAACAACAAAGTATATAGCTAACAGAAGCTCACTGTTTATGCATCCCATTTCCTCACAGATTAATTTAACTCAGCTTCCCCCCATTCCCTGTGATTATTTCTGATCCAAATTAGTTCCCTATAATCATGGTTTAGCTGTCAGTACACCCATTTCCAAAGGAAACCCTATAAAGAGCTTCTTTTAATGGATTGCCAGTTCCTTTCTCACTGCTCAGGTACTTAAGTGTTGTCCTTTATACCATTCTACCTTGTTTAGTTAGCTTTCTTGCCTCTGCAGTTTTAGCATCCATTGAGCATACAGATTAATGTTTATTTTCCCAGCCACCAGGACTAGAATCTTGAGCTTTTTAAGTTAAAAAGGGAGAGTTCAGAAATTGTCTGGATATCCTGTTCTATACCAGTAGCATATACTTAGAAAGACTTGGGGTCACCAACCCAGTTGTTTGGTTGTCTTGTGCATAAAAAAGTGATGTGGTTTTTGAAATGCCTTTCTTTTTCACTCTGCAAAATTTCTTTATCTTAGCAGTACTATGTGGAGTGCCATCTATGGGTCGGATCGTCGGTGGCATGGATGCCCAAAGTGGACAGTGGCCCTGGCAGGCCAACCTTAACTTTGATGGTCATCACGTCTGTGGAGCCACACTCATTGCCCCTCAATGGCTGGTCACAGCTGCACATTGTTTCCCAACGTAAGTGTGAAGCATCCATGGAGGATGATACTGGTGTGAGGGCTGGAAAGCAGAAACCAGAAATTGTGGTGTCTTTTGTAGCTGGGGATTTAAATGGTGAAGGATTCAAGATCCAGACCTAGATTTTAAGCTGGTAAGATGTTGTGTCAGTACTAATTTTGGAGTCTGGAGAACACAGATAATGCATTTTATCTTTTATAAATACAGTTTTCAATCATTTTAATATTATGCATAGTTTAACTCCATGTTAATTTCACTTTTTGGGTGGTTTGGGCTTATAGTTCTTTTTAAAGAACTATGTGGAGTGCCCTCTATGGATCTTTTTAAAGAACTATGCAAATCATCTTGAGTCCCCGTTTTGGGAGAAAGGCAGGATAAATAGAACAAAGAAAGGAATTAAGGAATTTTACTTTGCTTGCTCTAAAACTCAGTCCATGGTGGTGGTGGTGATAATAATACGTGTATGCTGTTTTTGAGCATTCATATGTCTTCTCCATCCCCCCATCCATAGTTCAGTATCTTAGCTGCTGTACTGTAAGAACTGTTGGTGAGAGACTGAGAGGCTTGTACATTCCCCAGTGTTAAAAAGGAAATTATCCTTTCTTTTTAGGGGAAAAATTGGGTTATAATTCCTAGAATCCACTAGTGGCCCTGCTAATTGGAGGCTGTGGTCCAAAATGTAACATTTCTGAGCTTTGGTTGTTCATGCGTCTTGCTGATTTATGGGGGAAACTTATCTCATTAACTTGCGACATCAGTTGATATTGGATAGTTCTGCCTATGGGTATAAGCCCTGTTGACTTGATGACGCCGTCATGATAAGAAGTAGTATACTTCTAATTATCATTTG